GGCTAAACGATAAAACAACCTCAGACGCCTCGTCTATGCCCCGGATAGACGAGCTCCTAGACAAAATGGCCAGAGGCCAGTAACTCACCACAATAGATCTGTGCAAGGGGTACTGGCAAATTCCATTAGCCGAGGACGCCATCCACAAGTTGGCATTTGTCACCTCATTTGGCCTGTATCAGTTTAAGGCCATGCCATTCGGGATGAAGAATGCCCCGGCTAACTTTCAGAGGATGGTAGATCGGCTACTGGATGGGTTTCAGGAGTATGCCTGCGCCTACTTGGATGATATAGCCATTTTTAGCTGCTCCTGGCCCTAACACCTGACCCACATATGAGCCGCACTAGACCGGATTAGGGAGGCCGGACTGACCCTAAAGCCAGTAAGTGCCATATAGGAACGCGTAAAAACCTCCCCAAGATAGTAGTATGGGCCTCAGAGTGTGAACAGGCCTTCCAACAGCTCAAGACGGCGCTCATTAAATCACCTGTACTTTCTGCTCCTGATCCAACTAAACGCTTTCTCGTCCATACAGACGCTTCTATGTTTGGATTGGGAGCAGGAGGCCCTCCTGTGTCACAATCTGGTAATAGCTTATCGGCAGGGGCTATTCCCCATGTTATTAACCCAGCTCATATGGTTCCAGCTAACCTTAAGAAAGATATCCTGGAATGCAAAGACGTGAACCTAGTCCCACTTGTGATAGCGTCCCAGGATATAGTTAAGAATCGTACCTATGCCTATGGAGATATATCTGTTGTGCTAAAGGCCAGGGAAACCGTCTATTCAAAGAGGAGACTGTCTATTCAAGACTTCATATTGGCATTTGGAATATACAGGGATGTCATATGCACAGGTGAAAGGAACTGTCACGGGTGGTGGTCCGCAGACCAGGATCCCTGAATGCCTGATGATGAGAGGAGTCTCAGCGTGGTAATGGACCATCACGACCTGGTGCAGGGTAACAACACACCCCCTGGTATTGAGCACCAGCGATTGTGCGGCCACATACCAGGGCCCTGATGCAGCTACTGCGGATCCCAAGAGCTAGGAGCTTGATGAGAAGCAGACCTCCCAGGAACTGGATAGGGAGGCTCTGCAGCAGACATGTATCCAGTACAGAAACAAGGCAAGACTAGGGACAGGCACCTAACAAGAAAACAAAACAAGACTAGAAGAACCTAGAACTGGAACAGGACAGAACCAAGCAGAACCAAGAACATGTACACAAGACATGAGGAAAACAAGGACAGGGCAGGACAGGACTGTACATGAACTGGGAATACAAGACAAAATAAAACAAGACAAGAGATACAAGGCAAAACAAGAGGAGACATAACTAAGTACTGTATATGTAATAAACACTGGAGATTTAGACATACATAAATGGCCAAGATGTATGCAGCCCACCACTGCGCCAAAGTACTCCAATTACAGTGGGTTCCTATCTGCCTAGATATGCATGACTAAATAAACAATAATAAAACACACACAGCACTTACCTGCAAGTAAGGAGCAGAGGACTTGAAACAGCTGCCTGCAGGAACCAACTGAAACAAAAAGGATTAATGGGAAAGGAACGGGTGTGGCAACAAAACACACAAACCTTTAAAGGAATCCAAGAGACTAGGAATTCAAGGAACGGAATACAGGAATGAACCCAGAAAACCCAGCATAAAGAAAACCAGACATGGAATAGAAAACCAGAAAAACCAAGAAAAACTAAACAAGAATTGTAAATAAAAATACTGGATACCAGAAGCCAACGCCAGCCATCGCCGCCGAACAGAGCAGGATGTGACAGGAACTTGATCTCTACATACACAAGCTGGTGGACTTAGGGCATAAATACAGGGGTACAGCATTTTATGACTATCACTGGTCTTTTTCAGCAAAAGTGTCAGCAACTCCTACCTAGTTTAATGTAAGAACAGACTGGAGCTAACTGGCTACAGAGCTTTTCTGTAGACACTTTGCTGGACTAAGAACTCCAGCTTGTGCAATATGCACATTCTACTATGCACACAGCCAATCTGTGTCCAATGACACCAGAGGTCACCTCTAACACTAAAGCAAAGAATGATAAACCAGCTAAAGATAAACGAGAACGTCCAATTGTGTACTTGGGGAAATCACAAATATGTAATAATTTAAATGAAGGTGTTATGGACAGATGAATTAAAATAAAATGGCTATTTACTAATGTCTATTTATTCTGTGTTCACTATGTTAAAACTGGCTGCTAGAGTAAATATTCCCTTCCCCCCTTACAATGTGTTCAGTTGCTGTTTCCTATGTAAATTCTTCATCGTGCTAAGCATCCCCCTTCCCATCAAGCAAACCTTGTGTAACCAAAATTCCTGTGTTAACAGCTCCCTTTACTAACTCCTCCCCCACTGCCTTTGTGCCAGTTAACAGCTATATGCCACGTGTAACAAAATGGAGAATCACTGTTAAAGTAACTGAAAGAAACTACTCACTCCCCCTCCCATCGTGTATCCAGAAGTCTGTAATGATGACACTACATCCTGTAGGGGGGGTTTAGACAAGACCCCCTTAGACTGTTAACCAATTGGTGAATGTATACTGTATGTTTAAACTGTGACGTATTTTTGCTTTAAGAAGGAGCCCCCACTCTGGGGAATAAAGCATTCCTGGGTTTTTCACTGATCAGAAACTTTGTCTCCGGTGTGAATTACTTCTAGGGAAAGCGTGCACGCATTAATCAATCAATTTGGAAGGTGTAGATAGACAAATTATCAAAGTTTTCTTTGATCCAAAACAATTTTGGCACCCCAGATGGGACTGAAAGGGTTACGTTACTAAGGGAGCCGTAAAATCCCAAGACAGGAGAACAAAGGATTCCCAGAGATTGGAAACGGAGCCTGATCACCTCTGCATATGGTAAATGAGTTGCTTACCTATATTTTCCTTTCTTTGGATTTCTCTTATTCTCCGTGCCTTCACATTCGGCTTCCGGTGGTTAACGTCTTCAGATAGGTAATATATATATGCCCGAATGTCCCCTTTTATATAGAACCTGTCACTTGTCTATCTACAGCCTGAGTCCTGAGTGTGAGTTTTATGTGTGAAAGTGTCTGCTTGAGAATCTGTTTTACTACTTGCTTAATACTGTTATATAATGCTGCCAAGTGTGGTTAAGCACTTGCAGATTTAGCCAAGTTCGGGTTTGGTGGAAAAACCCTGGCTCTTTATTTATTTTAACTAAGCTTCGGTAAAGAAGTTATTGAGGGACTCGGTCAAGAGTTTAAAAATGTATTTTAGCTAAGCTTCGGTAAAGGAGCGGTTTATGTGCTTGAGTGTTTCTGTGTGTGTGATTTGAGTTATTATAAGCCGGCATTTATTTTAAGGACTTTGTGATTTAATTGCATCTGTATATTGTGCTTTTGCATGTAAATGTCTTGTCGGGTACCATATATGTTAATTGTTCTATATTTTCTCTGTGTCTTGTAGCGCTCCTATTCTATCTTTTGTACTAAGGAGAGCTGTGCTTAGGCACTTACATGGTTAAATACTTTGTGCTTGCAACTCTGCTTCACCCTCTCCTCCCCCCTCCTTCCCTTGGAGTCTGTGTTGCTGACTTTTTTTTTTTTTTGCATCACTCTGGTTCTCTGTGCTCTGCTAGGACGTACATGTGACGCTAGATGCACGTTTCCCTTAGTCTATAACTCCTACACTCTCTCCCTCTCTCTCTATCTCTCTTTCTCTCTCTCTCTCTCTCTTCCTAAACCTCTTTCTCTCTCTCTCTTTCAGTCTCCCTCTCTCTCTATCCCTCTCTCTCTCTTCCTAAACCTCTCTTTCTCCCTCTCTCTTTCAGTCAGTCTCCCTCTCTCTATCCCTCTCTCTCTCTTCCTAAACCTCTCTTTCTCTCAATCTCCCTCTCACCTTATCTCCCTCAGCCTCTTGCTCACTTTCTCCTACACTCTCTCTCTCTCTCACTCTTTTTGTCTCCCTTACTTTCACACTCTTCCCCCACTCTCTCGCTCCCTCATTCTCTCTACCTCAGTCTCTCTCTCTTTCTCTCTCTATCTCTCAGTCTCTCACTCTCTTTTGGTCCAGGGTCTGCTTCTCTCTATCCATACCACTGTTGTGTATAAATGGGTCAAACTAATGTTAGCCCCTCCCGGGGTCAGTTAGCATGTGACCTTGTAAAGGAAAGAGCTGGGGACTTAGCTGTAGCCAAATTTAAGAAAATTATTAAACTGTGTGGTATTACTATGTCCCCCAGTGGCAGATTGCAGGCGGAAGACTGGAGGAAACTTTTAAACGATAAACATGGGATATTGTTAGATAATGGGTTAATGAAGGCCGCAGATTCTTGGTATCGGGTGGCTCGAGGGATTAAGAAGGAGGGGTGGATTGAGGAGGAGATAGACCTAGAGGGAAAGAAAGTCTTTGTGTATCATGAAAAAGGTTGTTTTGTTGAATCTGTTGAAGGCGTTTCCAGCCCTCCTCCATCTGATAAGGCCTGGCCAGAAAGGGGGGTGGCTCAACCAGCCCCTGGAGCCCCCACACAGCCCATTCATGTTAAGACGTGCTCTCCAGCCCCTGCTGCCTTGTACCCTGTCTTTAAGGCAGACGGTACATGTTATTTTCCAGCCCCCTCTCCCTCTCCACTCCAAATCCCAGTCACACATTCCCTTCCTGTTTCTTTGCCTCCTCCTCTCTTGCCCATCTCTGCTGCTACACCCTCTCTTCCGACTCCTGTTGCTTCTGTCCACGCCCAATTCCTTTCACATCTCCCTATAACTTCCGCCCTTACTTCTCCTTTGGATTCCTTCTCTTCTGCCCTTTCACTGTCACCATTTCCTGTTTCTAACACACCCATCCCTTCCATGATGGTAACTTCCCCTACCAACACCCCTGTGGTCGCTTCCTCCCTCCCTTCTGTATCCTCTTCCATTCCGGCCCATCTCATAACTGCCCCCAGTGTATCTTTCCCTATTATGACTATTGGATCCACTGTTCCTGCACTCAGGCTATCCTCCTGCTGCTACCCCTGCAGCATCAGGCTATCCTCCTGCTGCTACCCCTGCAGCATCAGGCTATCCTCCTGCTGCTACCCCTGCAGCATCAGGCTATCCTCCTGCTGCTACCCCTGCAGCATCAGGCTATCCTCCTGCTGCTACCCCTGCAGCATCAGGCTATCCTCCTGCTGCTACCCCTGCAGCATCAGGCTATTATCCTGCTACCTCCACTGCTACATCAGTCACTTCTCCCCCTGCCTCACAACTTGATTTAGTCTACATTACTCCTACAGTTAGTCACCCTGCAGCCAGTACTACTGCTGGACCGATTTCAGTTCTTCCTGACATGGCTCGTGTATCCAGCCAACAGATTCCCATTCCCCCTGCTGATGGTAGTGTCCAGTGGGCGCAGCCTCCACAGACCCCGACTAATCTGCCTCACATTCCCATAGCAGGTGCTTGCAGTGCCCAGCATGATCAGGAGGGTGCCCCTTTAATGTATGTTACCTTCAACCCGTCCCAAGCTGCAACACTGGTACACTCACTTCCTGACCCTGAGAAACAGCCCATGCCCTTTTTCCGTCGGATTGTTCAAATCCGTAAAACTTACTCTGCAGCATGGCACGATTTGTTTAGTCTGTGTGAAATTAAGGCAGGGGATGCTTACTGGCCCATAATGGAAAAGAGCTTTGATGCCCGTCTCACTACAGACACGGATTATCAGTCTGGTATCACATTTTGTGAACAACTCCGTGCATGGGCTCAAGATAAGTTGACTGATCAGGCTACTTCTATTGCTGATATTGTTCAAGAAAAATCGAAAATGGTTGAAAGATTTCATTCTAGGTTAACTCAAACCTTTTCCGATCTGGGTTTCAATACATGTAATAAGGCCCACACCCAGATGATATCAGCCGCTTTCGTTGCAGGCCTTAAAGAACCTATAAGGAAAGGCCTGGTTCTGTCCCGTCCCGAATTCAGGATAATTCCCCTGGATACTCTCCTCCTGGTCGCTAAAGGCCTGGAGTCGATCCAATTGCCCCAGCACAAGAAATCCACTCCTTTAATGTTTTCATTACATAACCCTGCAATTACACCTGCCCCTGTTGGGTTCCCTGTTACCACACCACCGGGCCCTTTCATGGCTCAGGTTCCAAGACCACAAGGTCGAACTTGTTTTCACTGTAAGCAACTAGGTCATTTTAAGAAGGATTGTCCAGGTTTTCCAGCACCTCAGCAGCGCACACAGGCTCTACGGCCACCGTATCCTGTGGCCGGTTATCCTCCTGCTCAAGCGCTAGGTTATCCGACACATGATTCCAATTATGCTAACTATACTACTTATTATCCTGATGACCTAGCCTCAGCCAATTATCTGCCCTCTAATCGTCCTATGCCTAGACACCGACGTCCTGCACAACATGCTCAACAACAATACTACTCAACTACACCTACACGTACATACCCTGGTCCAGACCAGTCTCATCTTGATCTTGTCCAATAGGTAACAGGCAAACCTGTGTCCAATGCCCCTGTCATGGCAGTGTATACAGGGGATAAAGGGGGGCCCCTAGCTACAGTGGTCCTACCCATGGAAGGCTGCCCAACCACCTTCTTAGTTGACACAGGCGCAGCCCGTAGCGTACTTAGAGCATGTGACCTGCCTGACGATTCCTTTCTCTCTATTATAGATGTTTCCTGTATAGGTGTAGACGGTACCCCTCGTAGCAACCCATTAACTAAGCCCTTATGGGTGGGTACTTTCCCTGATCTCCTTACTCGTTTTGTAGTGTCTCCCTCTTGTCGTCTTAATTTGTTGGGAGCTGATGTTCTGTCCCGCTTGCAGGCCTCCATCTCCTTTACTCCAGATGGCAAGGTTCAGTTATTCCTTTACTCCAGATGGCAAGGTTCAGTTATTGACCCCTCTCTCCAGTGAAGATATTAAAGAGGACATCGCATCGCTGGATGCCGCGCTTTTCAGCGAGTTCAGTTTGGTCGCTAGCCTGGTCGAACAGTCGAACGCCTTCCACAGCTAAAAATAACGAAAGTGCTGTCCCAGTAATAATTCCCCCCACAAACGAGACCAAGCTCCATCTTGAGGGTAAAATGAAGATCTCATTGGTGGCAGCGGTGGGATGAATCCTACCGCCCAGAAGGCCAGCTACACATCCCAGGTTGGAAATGCAGTATGAAGAGTTAAGGCGTGCTACCCTTAAAGATATATTAGAACGCAGAGGACGATCTTCATTTGACCCTCAAGACGGAGCTTGGTCTCGTTTGTGGGGGGAATTATTACTGGGACAGCGCTTTCGTTATTTTTAGCTGTGGAAGGCGTTCGACTGTTTTGCTGATCGGGAGTTGCCGTGTTCGTGGACTTCGTTCGGGAGTTTGGCGGTCGGCTGGATTTAAACTGCATTTCTGGAGAAGGGGATTATTTACTAAACGGCGGCTTCATCTACCCGACGGTACGTGTCGTAACAGATACCTCAGCCCTTTGTTCTTTACCCCTCCTACTCCACATGGAGTCACCCCATGGGAATGCAAGGGTCCTAGACAATTCCCCCAGTGCGCTTGACAGAGTTCTTGTGCAACTGTGGTCTACTGGTCCCGATGATATTGGACGACTTAAAGTCCCTCCGATATTTGTGCAATTGCTCCAAGGAGCAAGTCCGCCCAGAAGACCACAATATCCATTAACACCTGCTCAGGCCCTCTCTATCTCCAAACAGGTTGAAACTCTGCTGGCTGCGGGTGCTCTGATTAAATGTGTGTCGCCTTGTAACACTCCTTTGTTTCAAGTTAAGAAAAAGACCGAAAATGGCGAACCGGACAAGTACAGGATGGTTCAAGACCTCAGAGCAGTCAATGATGTTACCGTCTTGGAAACTCCCATTGTTCCAAATCCTCATACTGTTCTATCCCAGGTCCCTCCTTCAGCTAAATTCTTCACGGTGGTGGATTTGGCCAATGCCTTCTTCAGCGTGCCTTTGCATCCCTCTTGTCAATACCTGTTTGCATTTACCCATGACCACCAACAATATACCTGGACAGTCATGCCCCAGGGAGCGCAAAATTCCCCAAGCCAGTTTGCAAGAGCCATGGCATACATCCTGGAACCATGGCAGAAATCTCACACAGACGTGGTCCTCCTGCAATATGTGGACGATCTCCTTCTCTGTGCTGACGATCTCCCGACTGCAGAATGTGCCTCTGAAGATTTCCTCTGTTACATTGCCGCCCAAGGTTGTAAAGCATCTAAGAAGAAGTTGCAGTGGTGCCGACCCTCGGTGATCTTTTTGGGGCATTGTCTTTCTCGTGGCACCCGGCACCTTACTAGAGACAGAGTGCGGGGTATCACATCACTCTGCCCTCCATCGGCTCACAAGTCCCTCCATGCCTTCCTAGGTCTTATCTCTTACTGTAGAGCCTGGATTCCTGAAGCCTCTACACTGATGCAGCCACTCTACGACGCCCTCAAAACTGAACCGTTTGCTTTATCTCCTGAAGCCCTTACCAGCTTCTTCGCATTACGACGTGCTGTTGTTACTGCTCCTGCTCTGGGCCTTCCCAATTACGAGAAGCCCTTCAAGCTCTTCATCTACGAAAAAATGGGTCATGCATCTGGTGTTCTCACTCAGTCTCATGGGTCTCGTCAACGTCCAATGGGGTATTACTCCTGTCAGTTGGATCCTGTGGCCAGGGGAGGACCCTCCTGTCTTCGGGCTGTATTTGCAGCAAGTGCTCTACTGGACAAGACGTGTGACATAAACCATTCTCGCTCCCCATGATCTTTCTGCGATATTGAATCAAGTTCAACCTAAACATCTCTCTACTCAAAGGCATCTTCGTCTCCAAACAACTTTAATGTTACCCGATAATGTCTCCTTACAGCGATGTTACACTTTGAATCCTGCCACTCTTCTGCCGTTTCCCAAAGGGGGAGTACCACACTATTGGAACAGTCTGAACATAGATCCTGATGCCTTCCTTGATCTGGATGTCCATATGCCCACAGTACCACACGATGAACAGCCATCTCCTCTATGGCATTGTACTTTGTGGTTCAGAGACGTTCCGGGGCCTGACCCTCAGTATGAAGAAGAACTGTTTCAATTGATTGAAGTACGTCTCACTTTGACAGACATATACTGTGATACAAAAGGTAACACTGTAGTTTTAGTTCAATTACCCACAGAAGTGACTCATATGTACCACCATTGGGAGATGGCAGTTCCTCATGTCTCTATTACTAAATCTCCAAATATCTCATGGAAGGAACTTGGTCCATTAGCCAAAGCATGGAGTGCAACAGATCAAGACCAACTCTCCACAGAAGGTGTTACCAAACGAACTGTGAATTGTAAGACTACTGGTTACCCACAATATCACACAGAAATATGTGAAGATGCCCCTCCGATAGATCCTGACCCAAATGTTCCCCATGACTGTTTTGAACAGATGAAGATGGAAACAGCCCATCTTCCTACAGTACATGAAACGGCTTTGCCAGATCCTGACTGCACACTGTTTGTGGATGGCTCCAGATTTGCGGATGAACAAGGAAGATACCACACTGGATTTGCAGTGACCACAGTGGATCAGGTACTTCAAGCATCCCCACTTCCCCCGTCTATGTCTGCTCAAGAAGCGGAACTAAAAGCCCTCACTGTAGCATGCCAAATGTTTGAAGGGAAACGTGTTAATATTTACACTGATTCAAGATATGCCCTGGGCGTAGCACACGATTTTGGATTAATATGGAAAACAAGAGGTTTTCTGACAGCAACCGGTACACCAGTTAAACATGGTACAACTATCAAGGAATTGATGGATGCTTTACTCCTTCCTGAAGAAGTGGCCATACTGAAAGTAAAAGCCCATGGAAGACGGAATTCGGAAGAAACATGTGGCAATCATAAAGCTGACCAAGCCGCCAAAGATGCTGCATGTCAATCAAGGGAAGTGGACAGAAGAGTGCCCGGTGAGGAAATTCCTATTTTTCCCATGCAAACCTTACCTACAGACCTCAAGTTTTTGAAAGAACAGCAAGCAGCTGTAAGTCCTGAAGAAAAGCAAAGCTGGAAACAGAAAGGAGCAACCTTGCAGGATGGAGTACATACTAGCAATCTCAAATTTTGTCTACCTAAATGTATGTATCCGGCTGTGGTTCAGTGGGCCCACGGAGCAGCGCACTTGTCTAAGACACTCATGAACTCTTTAATTGCTAAATATTTCGAAGCACCAGGTATTACCACTCTGACTAAAGTCCTGTGCTATCTGTGCCAAATGCAATCCGGGAAAATTGGAGAAAGTGTCCCCCAAACACCTTGCGAAGCCACACTACCCATTCCAGAGAGTCCAAATTGACCACATTCAGATGCCAAAGAGTGGCCGGTATGAATATGCCCTAGTTATGGTGGACATAGTTACATAGTTACATAGCTGAAAAGAGACT